AAGTTTGTATCATTGACTTTCAGTTTCAGTTTCATAATATAGCTTCACAACACCAAACGGCAAAAGAGCCCATCTTTGGTAGTCAATCAAAAATTAGTAACAAAGTGAGAGAACAGGACTCTTTGAAGTAGAACAAAACGATGGAGAAAACATACCTGCTAGGTGACTTGTGATGTGTTTCAGGTTGACCACTAACTAATGACCTTATGCAAGTCAAGTATTGTTCAAAGATAACATCCTGAGAACAGAAATAAAAAGGTACAGGTTATAAAGTATGATATTAATAAAATAATATTCTAGTGTATCTTTTTATCACTCAAATCCAACTTTCATTCCCTATGTTTTTATAAAGAATAATTTTGTCATTATTAATTTTTAGTTTGCTACAGGGCACACATACTCACTGTAGACAGACAGAGAGAGAAAGTGAGAAAGCATGCAGCTAGGCTTGGGACTTAGACCACAAATTGGCCACACAGGAGTCTAGCAAACTTAAACACCACGCCACCTGCTGACCCCCTTCACTATGGTTTAAAACTGGATTTTAATATCTTTGACCTGCAGATATAGAGAGTATCACATTTCCTTTAGGCTTCCATAAAAATCCATAGACTGGGTGGTTTAACATCAAAAATTATTTCTTATAGTTCTAGAGACTAGGAAGTTCAAGATCAACACAGCAGCAAATGCCATCCTGCACTGTAATAGTTTCTTCTTCATTCTCTTCTTGGGAGTTCGGGCATGCACATACACCCACCCAGCATGATTTTCAAGACCCTAGGTCTGGGACTTGAACCACAATTGACTATGTGGGAGCCCAGTGAATTAATCACTATGCCATCTGCTGGCCCCATAGTTCCTGCTTTTAAAAAATTAAAATTTTAGGACCAGCAGATAGCTTAATGGTTATGTGGCTGGAATCCCACATAGTCAACTATGGTTTGAGTCCCAGGCCTGGTGGCTTAAAACTGACACCAGGCACGTGTGTGTGTGTGTGTGTGTGGGTGTGTATGTGTCCAAAATCTCAAGAGGAGAATAGAGGACAAGGAATTGCAGCATGGCCATCCCTCCTAGAGGTGATTTTTTTGCTTTCTATTTCTTCAGCAGCCACACATGTCATACAGCAAACATTTCTAAAAATAAATAAATAAGTAAATAAATGAACTGAGGGCCCAACAGGTTACCTGGTGGTTAAGGCACTGGATACTCCCACATGGCCAATCATGGTTCAAGTCCTGGGCCTGGTGGCTTGCTTATCTTTGTTATCTCACTTTCTCTCTCTCTGTCTTCCTCTGTTCAAAAGACCTGTATTTATAAAAAATAATAATAAAATAAAAATTAAAAAAAGAATTGAATAACAAAAGAGAAGCTTTCTAGACAAATTCAGGATCCTATTTACATTTGTGTTGCTATAGTATACTGATAACAGCCCTTTTTTTTTTTAACCTCCTACATGTAGACAAACAATCTGGATAGGAAAAAAGTCAAAGACTTTAGCTGTAGATAACACAGGCTGTGGTGTTTAGAAGAAGGTGTTTCATGGAAATTATTAAGTGAAGTGTAAGCAATGGACAATATGAGTTAAAATAGCTATACGTAAGTCAGCTGCTAAACAATGATTCATTGACTAAGGCTTCTGTTCAAAGAAGTTATATGATCACTGTCCTTTTCCACAAATTGAAATCTAAATTTATTTGGTAATAAACAGTAAACAAAAGGTCTATATAAGTACTGGAAATAAAAATAAAGACTAATGAGAAATCCTCGGCCTTTAAAGAGTTTACAACACAGCCCAATGAAAGGTAGGAAAAAGACTGCAAATGGTGGGGGCAGTTTTGTTGTCTTTTTACAACACCAAAATCTGCCAAACCTTTTGGCCACCTCTGCAGGTATCAACCACATACATCCATTTTAAGCGATGGTATAATGTGAGATTTCAGTGCACAGATTATCTAGGTTAAATTCCAGCTTTGCTGTTTACTGAAACCATGGTAAAGCTCAGCATGAAGAGCCAAAACAGCTACCAGTACAAAGCTGAGTCCATTTTAACTTTTTTTTCTTTGACTCTGTCTTCATTCTCTGGCAACTAACAAGGTCATATATTTCAGAGTGACAGGTAACTGCTGGTAAAGATAGTTACATCCCTCTGTTTCACTAGGCACCACGAACATGATATCTGAGAGCCAAGGACTATAGCAATAAATTTGCACCAATAAATCTACAATAGCAAATTTTATCAGGTAGACGGGGGGAATCTTGTTTTTTATTTTCCTTCAGATAAGAAGTACCCAGAAACCTAACCAGATCCCACTGAACCACAAGGATGCCACACACCGGAACCTCTCTTGAACCCAATGCCTTAATGCCCCCTTCCCAAGGTAAAGCTGTGCAGTGGGTTTAACTATCAAGTCTGCCATCCTTTCCATTGTACATATCTTCAGATGTCCCTTTCCTTTACTGCATATACACATAAGCCCAGATCCACAGTACATCAAGTTGGTCCAAGCCCTTTGTTGGGGAAGCAGATTTGAGAGTTATATCTCCTGCTTCCATGCTTGACTGGCAACACACTGATAAAGCACTTTCCCTGACTGCAAACAGCAACCGCAGAGATTGGCTCTTTCTGTGGTGCAAGAACAGGCACTATGCAGCTTTATTACTAACTGCAACCTTGGGAAGATATGAAAACCTCTACAGTTTCTCCATCTAAAAAATATGAAGAATATCGGATTTCTCACATAGCGTTTTTAAAAGAGTTAAATAGAAAAAATAAATGTTAAGCCTTTAGATCAGTGCATGGCCATAGATTACATGCAATTCCTAAAGACTATCAGAATAGCTAGATTACTGATCTTTCTATATAGTGCCTGACAGATACAAAATCAAATACGCAAAAATCATGGGCTTCAGTATACTGAGATGGCTACTTTCTGGTCTGCCTCTGTCTCAGACCAACATCCAAAATTGACAGTTACTATTCAAGATAGATCATTTTCTGGACTTACTGATACTGGAGCTGATTTGATCAAAATAGCAGCCTCACAGTGGTCTTTCAAATGGCCCACTAAGGTGACTGATGTCTCCATCCTGGGAACAGGAAGAACTTCAACTCCTCCACAAAGCGAACGCCCATTTATTTGCATTAGACCTGGACAAAAAATTGAAATTTTCCAGCCATTTAGTCTGCCTCAACCACTCTTTCTTTGGGGAAGAGATATAAAAATAAAACGTCCTCTTTTACAACAACGTTTGTTATCTCACTTTCTCTCTCTCTGTCTTCCTCTGTTCAAAAGACCTGTATTTATAAAAAATAATAATAAAATAAAAATTAAAAAAAGAATTGAATAACAAAAGAGAAGCTTTCTAGACAAATTCAGGATCCTATTTACATTTGTGTTGCTATAGTATACTGATAACAGCCCTTTTTTTTTTTAACCTCCTACATGTAGACAAACAATCTGGATAGGAAAAAAGTCAAAGACTTTAGCTGTAGATAACACAGGCTGTGGTGTTTAGAAGAAGGTGTTTCATGGAAATTATTAAGTGAAGTGTAAGCAATGGACAATATGAGTTAAAATAGCTATACGTAAGTCAGCTGCTAAACAATGATTCATTGACTAAGGCTTCTGTTCAAAGAAGTTATATGATCACTGTCCTTTTCCACAAATTGAAATCTAAATTTATTTGGTAATAAACAGTAAACAAAAGGTCTATATAAGTACTGGAAATAAAAATAAAGACTAATGAGAAATCCTCGGCCTTTAAAGAGTTTACAACACAGCCCAATGAAAGGTAGGAAAAAGACTGCAAATGGTGGGGGCAGTTTTGTTGTCTTTTTACAACACCAAAATCTGCCAAACCTTTTGGCCACCTCTGCAGGTATCAACCACATACATCCATTTTAAGCGATGGTATAATGTGAGATTTCAGTGCACAGATTATCTAGGTTAAATTCCAGCTTTGCTGTTTACTGAAACCATGGTAAAGCTCAGCATGAAGAGCCAAAACAGCTACCAGTACAAAGCTGAGTCCATTTTAACTTTTTTTTCTTTGACTCTGTCTTCATTCTCTGGCAACTAACAAGGTCATATATTTCAGAGTGACAGGTAACTGCTGGTAAAGATAGTTACATCCCTCTGTTTCACTAGGCACCACGAACATGATATCTGAGAGCCAAGGACTATAGCAATAAATTTGCACCAATAAATCTACAATAGCAAATTTTATCAGGTAGACGGGGGGAATCTTGTTTTTTATTTTCCTTCAGATAAGAAGTACCCAGAAACCTAACCAGATCCCACTGAACCACAAGGATGCCACACACCGGAACCTCTCTTGAACCCAATGCCTTAATGCCCCCTTCCCAAGGTAAAGCTGTGCAGTGGGTTTAACTATCAAGTCTGCCATCCTTTCCATTGTACATATCTTCAGATGTCCCTTTCCTTTACTGCATATACACATAAGCCCAGATCCACAGTACATCAAGTTGGTCCAAGCCCTTTGTTGGGGAAGCAGATTTGAGAGTTATATCTCCTGCTTCCATGCTTGACTGGCAACACACTGATAAAGCACTTTCCCTGACTGCAAACAGCAACCGCAGAGATTGGCTCTTTCTGTGGTGCAAGAACAGGCACTATGCAGCTTTATTACTAACTGCAACCTTGGGAAGATATGAAAACCTCTACAGTTTCTCCATCTAAAAAATATGAAGAATATCGGATTTCTCACATAGCGTTTTTAAAAGAGTTAAATAGAAAAAATAAATGTTAAGCCTTTAGATCAGTGCATGGCCATAGATTACATGCAATTCCTAAAGACTATCAGAATAGCTAGATTACTGATCTTTCTATATAGTGCCTGACAGATACAAAATCAAATACGCAAAAATCATGGGCTTCAGTATACTGAGATGGCTACTTTCTGGTCTGCCTCTGTCTCAGACCAACATCCAAAATTGACAGTTACTATTCAAGATAGATCATTTTCTGGACTTACTGATACTGGAGCTGATTTGATCAAAATAGCAGCCTCACAGTGGTCTTTCAAATGGCCCACTAAGGTGACTGATGTCTCCATCCTGGGAACAGGAAGAACTTCAACTCCTCCACAAAGCGAACGCCCATTTATTTGCATTAGACCTGGACAAAAAATTGAAATTTTCCAGCCATTTAGTCTGCCTCAACCACTCTTTCTTTGGGGAAGAGATATAAAAATAAAACGTCCTCTTTTACAACAACGAGGACTCATCTTAAAGATCCCACCTTTTCAGGAGGGGCCGTTATTCAAATTCCTACTCTTAAATTAACTTGAACTATTGAGACTCCAGTGTGGGTCAAGCAATGGCCTATAAAAGGGGAGAAACTCTTACAAATCCACAAGCTAGTCCAACAACAATTAGAAGCTGATCATATCAAACATTCTACTAGTCCCTGGAATTCTCTTATCTTCACACTACCTAAAAAATCAGAAAAATGGCATCTCCTACATGATCTGAGAGCCAATAACACTGTCATTCAATCTATGGGACCACTTCAACCTAGTCTACTCAGTCCTGCTACTATTCCCGAGGACTGGCCACTAATTATTATAGATTTAAAAGATGCTTTATTTACCATCCCCCTTCATCCAGATGATAACTAAAAATTTGCTTTTTCAGCTCTTGTAAAAAAAATAATCAAGAGTTGGGAACCAGCAGTTAGCGTAATGGCTATGTCACTGGACTCCCACGTTTTCGACCGTGGTTCGCGTCCTGGACCTGGTGGCTTAAAACTCACGCCAGGTGTGTGTGCGTGCGTGCCCAAGATCCCGAGAGGAGAATGGAAGAGAAGGGATTGCGGCGTGACCATCCCCCCTGGGGGGTGATTTCTCACTTTCTGTCTCTATGTCTCTCTGTCTGTCTGGCGAGCGCACGGACCCTATAGCGAAAACCTCTCCAAAAAAAAAAAAGATCAAGAGTCAATTCAAAGATTTCAATGGAAAGTTCTCTCTCAAAGAAAGACTAATGGCCCAACTATTTATCAATACCGTGTCTATCAAGCTCTGCTTCCCCCTCCTAAAGCCTTTCCTCATATTCTTATTTTCCATTTTATGGATGATATTTTTGCTACAGCTCCTACCAACCAACAGTTGACAGATCTTTATAAACACATCCAATAAACTACCGAACTTCATGGATTACAAATAGCCCCTAAAAAGGTCCAATTAAAAAGTCCTTGGCAATATCTCAGGTATACTCAGGGCAAATACTATTAGGCCTCAAAAATTAACATTAAATAGTCCAACTAAACTTACCCTCAATTCCTTAAGACAACTACTTAAAGATATAAACTGGGTGCATCCCATTTTAGGACTATCTACCAACCAATTATTAAATCTATTTAACCCTGTAAAAGCGGATACCAACCCAGTACCTCCGTGAAAACTTTCCCCTCTAGCACAACAAGAACTCCAATTGTAAAACAAGCTGTAGAGACTCGTCAATTAAATCACGTCTCACTAAAATCTTCAATTGAACTCATTATTTTTTTTTTTTGAGAGATTTTCACTGTAGGGCGTGTGCGCTCGCCAGACAGACAGAGAGAGACATAGAGACAGAAAGCGAGAAATCACCCCCCAGGGGGGATGGTCACGCCGCAATCCCCTCTCCTCCATTCTCCTCTCAGGATCTTGGGCACGCATGCACACGCGCCCGGCGTGAGTTTTTTAAGCCACCGGGTCCGGGACACGAACTGCGGTCGACTACGTGGGAATCCAGCGACATAGCCATTACGCTAACTGCTGGTTCCCAACTCATTATTTTTAATATCTTTCATAACCCTAATGGTCTTTTAGGCCAATTTACCTCTGAGTTACATTTCTTAAAGTTATTTCTTGGTTCCTCTTACCATAAAACCTTTACCCTCACCACAGATCTTATGACCACTAACATCATCAAAGGCCTTGCCAAAACTATTTACCCCTTCCACAAAAAGATTTTCAGGCCTTACTACAACAAAGCTTACAAGCTGCATTAGCAGATTTTAACCCTGTTTTGTTTCATCACCCTTCCTCTAAAATCCTTACCTTTATTTACTCAGGTTCCTATCTCAATTCCTACAAAAATTTTAAAAGTAGCCATTCCCGATGCTTTGACCATCTTTACCCATGGCTCAGGCAAAACACAAAAAACTGTTATCATTTGAAAAGATAAAGACAAATAGCAATATTTTATTAACACAGGTTTTTCTACTACCCAACAAGCTAAATTAAGAGCATTCTTCTCAGTCTTGTAACACTTCCCTTCCTAACCTCTTAACATTATTCCTGATTCCCATTATGTTGTTCATACTGCTTTTTATATTGAACATGCTTATAAAACGATATTTCCAATGAAACATTATTTCAACAATTTCTAACTTTACAGTCCCTTTTGGATGATTGCAAACATCCCATTTTTGTAATGCATATTCGCTCACATTCGAAACTTCCCAGCCCTCAAACCTTAGGCAATCACCAGTCAGATTGAGTTGTTGCTGCCTTCTCTCTTGCCTTTAATCAGACACAACTTTCTCACTATCTTCATCACCAAAATGCTCAAGCTCTTTGTAAAACCTTCCATATCACTGCCAGACAAGTCCAAACAATTGTTCGCACATATCCCTCCTGTCAACTCATTTCAGGCCATTCTTTAGGCCATGGAGTTAATCCTAGAAGACTTCACTATAATCACATTTGACAAACTGAGTTATGAGTCTTCCTCTGGTAAACTTAAATTTATTCATGTAACTACTGATACTTATTCTCAATTTATTCATGCTACCCTTTTATTAGGAGAAAAAAATACATCATGCTATTTCTCATCTTTTTAAATATATTACCATTATGGGTGTACCTAAATAATCAAAAACAGATAATGGCCCCTGCTATACCAGCCTAAGATTTAATCATATTTTCCAAGATTTTCATATACAACATGTTAATGAAATTCCTCAAAATCCTACCAGTCAAGTCCTTATAAAATATACTTACCACACTCTTTAAAAATCAGGGAATCCTTCTACTCCAGGGAAATCCCTCAAGATACACTTTCCAGGGGTTTATATACTACCAATTTTTTAAATCTTGCTGAACAAAATAATGCACCCAATCAAAGACAATGGCAATTATCCCAGTATCATCCCGGCCCCCATTATTGGTTTATATCAGAGGTTGGGAACCAAACTCACAATGGGAAGGACTATACACCCTAATAACTTGGGCCAGAGGGTCTATATGAGTCTACATACCTACAGGAACTCAGCAGATACCATTACAGAAGATCAACTTTCATCATGACACCAATCTTCTGCCTCAGTTCTAAATCTCAGCCTAAATGACTGAAGCCCATTACCCTTCACTCAACGAGTTCTAGGAATCACCTGGGGCCAACTGAAAAAAATGAGACCAACAAACAAGTGGTAACTATTCTCCAAAATGCAGGAGTGCCTAACACCCCTGAGAATTTACTTTTTCCTTATTTTGATCATCTCTCTCCAGATAGTTCAAAGGTAACAAGTTGGATTTATATCTCTATCCTGCTCCTTTGTCTTCCCCTGTATAGGCCACCCAATACATGACACATGTACTAATCATCTCCTTTTTAGACTACTTACTTGATTGGATGAATATTTTCACTGATCCTTCTCTCTCCTCTAATGACACAGCCGGAACTGGAGGAATTTGGCTCCCACCACCTGGTCCTCTTCTGGAATATTTAGAATGGCTACCCATCAATTCTTCCTTTTGTTTTGCTCCCCTAACCCACATATCTGTCTTATTACCAAACCCTCCAACTACAGATACCTTCAAATTATCCTACAAAAATGTCTCTATAATCAGCTCCAAGTCCATAAAAATATAACTAATTTAACTTTTATACCTCTTTGGCATCTACCTTTACAAATATGAAAATACAGCTCCCTCTCTTTAAAAAAAGTGGACCTGGGGCCAGCAGTTGGCGTAATGGCTATGTCACGGAACTCTCATGTAGTCGACCACAGTTCGAGTCTCGGACCTGGTGGCTTAAACTCACACCAGGCACATGTACATGCATGCCTAAGATCCCGAGAGAATGGAGGAGAAGGGATTGCGGTGTGGCCATCACCTGGGGGGGGGTGATTTCTCACTTTCTGTTTCTCTATCTCTCTCTTTCTGGTAAGTGCACACACCCTACAGCAAAACAAAACAAAACAAAACAAACTCTTAAAAAAAAAAATGTGGACCTGTATCTAATTAAAAACCTAAATTCTATTAGATCATCAGGAAAGTCATGATATATTTTTCTATGCAAAGACGTGTCTCTTTCCCAACAATACAATACAATGTCAATTGGCAACCTTATACAAAAGAGTTCCCTCAAATAACTTTACTCTTTTTTTTTTTTGGAAAGGTTTTCACTATAGGGCATGTGCACTCGCCAGACAGACAGAGAGATAGAAAGCGAGAAACCACCCCCAAGGGGTGATGGCCACGCCACAAGCCCTTCTCCTCCATTCTCCTCTTGGGATCTTGGGCACACACGCACACACGCCCGGCGTGAGTTTAAGCCGCCGGGTATGGGACTTGAACCACAGTCAACTACATGGGAGTCCAGCAACATAGCCGTTACGCTAACTGCTGGTTCCCGTGTCTCTCTCTGTTCTTCTGGTGAGGGCACGTGCCCTATAGCAAAAAAAAAAAAAAACTTCTCCAAAAAAAAAAAAAAAAAAAAAGAACTCATCTGGCTATGGCAGTTCAACATCACAGTTCTCAAACAAGTGTATAAGTTCATTTGAGTCAAATCTCTAGTGTGAATTTAATATTGGATCTTCAGGAAAGTCATGACACATTTTTGCATAGAAAAATACATCATGGGGACCAGCAGGTATAATGGCTACGTCACTGACTCTCATGTAGTCGACCACAGTTGAAGTCCCAGACATGGTAGCTTAAAATCACACCGGGCACATGTGCGTGCGTGCCCAAGATCTGAGAGGAAAATAGAGGAGAAGGGATTGTGGTGTGGCCATCCCCCTTAGAGGGTGATTTCTTGCTTTCTGTTTCTCTGTCCCTATCTTTCTGGTGAGCACATGTGCTTTATAACAAAGAAAAAAAACATCATGTACTTTCCCAAAAATACATTATATCTTTCCCAATGACCTAATATTAACAAAAATCAAGTTAAGTGAAGATATTACAGATTGGCAGTGTACTAATATCAGGCATTATGGATTACCTTCAACTTCTCCCTTGTTCTATATCCACTCAGGTAAGCTATAGCTGAAGGAAAATGCGTGTCTGGAAAAGATCTTACAATTAGCAAAGAGATGAAAGTTAATTGTGCAAAGTTTAGAGCTCATGATATGAAAGCATAGTGTTCTTAATACTTAGTGACTCATTTTATACCTTATCCCCGTTACTGAAGTAAACAAATGCAAGTGGTAGCCAGTCTCTGAAAAGACAGAAATATCTGGTCATAATGAGAATGCATGGTTCTCTTTCTTACTGACTCATCCAAAAACATCCACCACAAACAAAGCTCAAAATCATAAAATTCAATTTCTCATTTTTTCCAAAAAAATGTTTAGTTTTTCTACTTAGGCAAAAGTATAGATGTGCTTCTTTAACAACGTGATAAGTAAAAATCTGTAAGATTAAACTGATCATTGTATTTCAAAGAACATATTCTATGGCTACTTCTTATTTTATGGAAGAGAGCTCCTCTGTGAATATAAAGCAAATGGTCACTATTCATCCATAATATTCCATTATTTATTTACCAAAAACTTTTTATTATATTCTAACCACTGTGGTAGGCAAATAAATTATGACAGTAAATTTGAGAAATTCCACCCACATGGAACATGTCATGAGAGCTATCATGGCAAAGCAAAAAGTTATAAAGGGTGTTTGCTATGGTATAGTTGCTAGATTTTGCAAATAAAAATATGGATCAACAAATAATGCCCAGGACATCCTTAACACTAAAAATTATTTGCTGTTTTTCTGAACTTCAATTTTAATTGAGCATCCTTTCATGTAGCAAATCTAACTTGGAGGGATGACTTGGGAATGGAGGTAGGGTGAATGGAGAGAAAGGAAGGCTTCCTTCAGAAAGTTAATTCCTAAAATAAATCCAGAGCAGAGCAGAGAAAAGGCAGGGAACAAATCCTTCTGTGTGGAAATATTGCGATGTTGGGACCAGCAGTTAGAGTAATGGCTGTGTCGCTGGACTCCCATGTAGTCGACCGCAGTGCAAGTCCCGGACCTGGTGGCTTGAACTCACGCTAGGCACATGTGCGTTCCCAAGAGTCCAAGAGGAGAATGGAGGAGAAGGGATTGCGGAGTGGCCCTCGGGGGTGATTTCTCGCCGTCACTCTTTCTGGCAAGCGCATGCACCCTATAGCGGGGGGTGATTTCTCGCCATCACTCTGTCTTTCTGGCAAGCGCATGCACCCTATAGCAAAAATCTCTCCAAAAAAAGAAAAAGAACAACAACAAAAAAAAGAAATATAGCGATGTCACCACTGAAAGAGTCCAGGAATTGAAAGCAGCAAAGCAATTAGAGTAAGAAATAAGAAAAAGGGTTATGGTGAGAGATGAAGCCTGAGAGAAAATACGGGCCAATCTGGGTATTCTAAGCTTTGAAATTAAGGTTTTTGTGCTTTATCGTAGTATTAGTGAGATTCCATTATAGAACTTTGAGCAGCCCATTCTGGCTGCACGTGAAGAATGAATTAGAATAGGGCAGACAGGATGCTGATATTCTTGTTAGGAGTCCACTGGTGTAATTTAGGTGGAGTCTATGACAGGTTGTGAACAGAAGCAGTGGGAACAGGTGCATGAGCAACATCTGAACTAGTGACGGCACAGAAACAGGCAACTGTAAAGATGGACAGAAAAGGTGAATGAGAGGAAGAAAAACCAGTAGAAGCAAGCATTAGGGAAAATAGAGAATAAATGTCAATTCAAATGTCCTTTTCTGAGGAAACAAGTAAGAGAAAGATGAGAAGTTACTCTTAGATTTAGCCATGAGGAAGTCTCAGAGGAACAGTTAGAAGCCAAAGTAGAATGCAGTTGGTTAAGAACAAGGTGATACTGGCCTAGGAACCTTGGCTGGAGCAATTCAAGACTCCGTTTTCCTCTCTGCCCTTTTCACAGGTGAAGGTCAAGGACAGAAGAGTTTAGAAATGGAGTAGCCAGTGGCCCAATCAGGTGGAAGAGCGCCGCGAGCTGATCGCTAGGGGCCAATCCTTTCCTAGAGCCCACTTGATTGACAGAGCCTTGCGCCAAAGATCGAGCGCAGAGCGGGAGGCGAATCAAAACGGGGCGGAGTTCCTGGGCAGTAACCCGGAACCGGTTAGGGACTCGATTCCCATTGTGAGGCCAGGTCTGGGGAGGGCTCTCAGCGAGAATGGCAATACCATTTGGGCCAATAGTTAAGCCACATCAAATGAGCGGCAGTCAGGCTAACCAATGGGTGGTGGAGAAGAGGCGAGAGAAATAGGTAGGCGGGGTATCATTGAAGCATCTCTTTTTCTACCCCCCTCGGGCTACCGTGCTGAGGTGCCTCGGGGGTCGCAGGTGAACCATTCTGTTCCGCGGAAGCGACCAGGGAAGTGGCGACTCTGTGCCCGGTGGGTCCCCTCTCCATAGGGTGTGTCCTGGTCGAGTCAGCGGCAGGTGGCCGCCCCCCTGCTGCCGGCGTTGGCCCTGGTTTTGCGGCGTAGCTGGACTGCAAAGCTCGGGAGGAGCGCCACACGCGGCTGTCGCCTGACGGGGAAGGGCGTGTAAGGCCCCAAACGCACAAACAGGACTGCGGAAGTTTCTGGGTACTCAGTTTAATATCCAGTGAAAGGAACCCCGTTTCTGGTTCCTCAGCTCTAGTTGGGTACTACCGCAGTGTTGTGGCCCAGTCAGGTGTGCGGCCCCTGCTCCGGGGAGCCGGGAAGCTGGTCTTCCTTGATTCCTCCCAGGGTCTGTTACTGGGTGGCCCGAAAGGAGATGATAGGGACGGGTGAAAGTACTTTGTTAACAGGCGACCCCCAAGTAAACTTTCTTTACCTACTGCGAGTTTTAGAGAAGAACATCTAACTCGGCGGGGAGTGGATCTTCTGTAAGAATGTAAGAGACGGGAAAGCCACACTTTAAAAACGATCGGGGTTGAGGGAAGTTAATAGATTGTGATGCTTTTCCTCTTGCACTGCTTAATTTTCTTTCTTTCTTTCTCTCTCTCTCTTTCTCTTTCTTTCTTCGGACTCTGATTTTCCTCGGGTCTCTTAATTGTGTTTTATGCAGTATCCAGAAACTTCATACTCCAGTGTTAATCCTTTTAAAATTTGCCTGGTTATAACATGCCATTGGCGGTACATCATCATACCAAGGATTGTGTAAGTGAACTACATATTGTTTTTACTTCCAGCCAGTAAAGAATGATTGTGATGTGCTATTTCAGGAAAATGACTGTTCTCTGTATTTGGGCATGGAAAGTCTATAGGTTGCAACTATTGTACTCTCTTCTGTGAAGACAGGGACAATGACCATTATAAAAAAGGTTAGCATTTGGCATCTAAAATGGCATCTTTTCACATTTTTCTAAGGTGTTGTATCTCCAGCACCAAAAACAGTGCATGACACATAGTAAGAGCTCAATATATACTTTTGAGAAAAATTATTGGGGAATGTATGGCAGAAAACCTAAACTTCTGTTAGATTTTCTGGATACCAAAACACAAAGGAGAGGACAGAAAAGATAAACATTCTTGGAAACATAGCTTTTGTTCATGCAAGCATAGTCCACAACTCAAGATGCATCGATGTCATTTTCTTACACTTAATCAGAAAATGTCAAGTTTTCAGTGGAAGATTTTTACATAATTAAGCCAACACTGAATGGTAATAAGATTCAACCTAAGGTCAATGTCAGTGAAGTTAAAAATGTGTTGAAGTATATTTTATTGATTAAATAGTCCATCAACTCAGCATTGATCTGGGTCAGAGGAATACCACCTTGTAAGCTGGAGTTATGGAGTTAGGAAGTGTTGGGGGAAATTGCCATAGAAGTAAGCAACAACTGCTGACAAATTTAAAAAATATACAGACTCCATGGTAGGTTTAAAAGGATTGCTATAACAATCCATTTATTAAATCAGTCTCACATTCCGAGCACAGTCAAGTTTGATAGTGGATATCTGCATTAATTAGGATTCTCTTGACAATTTCAATAATCATTTATGATATATTTTTGTTACATATTATAGTTTACATTTTAAAATATAAAAGATAACTTGCATGAATTTCAACAACATGTGACTTTTCACAAGTATATTTTTATTTTTCATTCAGTTTTTAGCAAAGAAGAGAGTCTAAGCCTGCATTAAAGATCTCTAGAAGGGCCAGCAGGTGATGTGGTTAAGTCACTGTACTCGCATGTGGCCAATCGCGGTTGGAGTCCTGAACCTGGCAACTTGAAAATTCATGCCAAGCACATGTGTGTGCATGCTCAGACTCCTAGGAGGAGAATGGAAAAGAAGGAATTGAGGTGTTGCCATTCCCACCCTTGGGGATGATTTCTCACTTTCCCCTCTCACTGTCTCTCTCTGTCTTTCTCTAGCAAGTGCTCACATCCTATGGCAATCCTTAAAAAAAAAAAGAGGTGATTAGAAGATGGGGAAAGGGATAGAAAGAGAAACAGAAAATAATTCAATAAAATTAAGCCAAAAACCTGAAATTTCTATGGACACATAAAACTTGTGTTTAAAAGAAGAGGTGGGGCTGGTAGATGGCATAGATCATTAGGGGCACTGGACTCCCACATGGCAGGCTGCAGTTTTGAGTCCTGGACCTGGCTTGCTCTTTTGCTTTCCTTCTCTCTCCCTCTCAACTTTAAAATAATGATAGTAATAATAATAATAACAACATAAAATTAAATAATTCTGAAACATAATAATAAAGAAGAGGAGCCAGCAGGTAGTATAGCGATAAAAGTGCTGGACTCCCACGTGGCCAACCGCAGTTTGAGTCCCAGACCTGGTGGCTTGAAAATCATGCCAGGCACATGTGCATGTGTGCCCAAAATCCCAGGAGGAGACTGAAGGAGAAGGGATTGTAGCGTGGCCATCCCCATTGTAGCATGGAGGTGACTTCTCTCTTTCCTTGTCTTGTCTCTGGTGGGTGCACATACTCTATTGCAAAAACCTTAAAAAAGAAAGAAAGAAGGCAGCCAAAATCAATATAGGCAAGAAATTATATATGACATTAGATAAACTGAACTCTATGGCTGTGCCAAAGCATGTACACATTATGCAAAATTCTGAAGAACATTTTCAGCAAGCAGGCCATATTGCTATTCAGGCAGTCCCTAGCAGTGGTAAGCAGGTTATTGAAGACATTTTTTAAAAAAAATACAAAATCAGGAAGTTAAATATCCATAGAAATGGAACAGAGGGAGCCAGCAGGCAGTGTGGTATTGAAGGTGCTGGACTCCCACATGGCCAGCCATAGTTCAAGCCCTGAATCCAGTGGCTAGAAAATCATACCAGGCTTATAATCTAGTGATGAAAGGCTGATACTTTACTATAATCTCAATATCAAGCATGCTGTACCGGATGCAATGAATTTAAATTTTATCACTAAATGTCTAGAGAAATTTTGAAAGTCTGCTTTAGAAATAATTTGTAATCTGAGGCCAGCAGGTGACATGGTTAAGGGCACCGGACTCCTACATGGCCAACAACAGTTCGAGTCCCGGACCTGGTGGCTTGCTTTCTCTCTCTCACTCTGTCCCTCTCTGGTCAAATAAAAATAAATAAAGCTAAATAAATAATTCTGTAGTAAAAAAGAAATAATTTGTAATCTTTTTTGTTCATACTTTGCTGATATTTTGAGGGTGTGTGAAATTGACAGTCATTACTTGAGAGTTTCTTTTCTTTTTTCTAAGGATTTATTTAATTTTATTTATTATTTTTTAATTTCCTATAGGGCATGTCTGCTCACCAGAAAGAGAAAGAAGGAGAGGGAGAAAGTAAGCTACTATGTCTGGGACTCAAACCATGGTTTGGCCATGTGGGAGTCCACCACCCTAACTACCACACCACCTGCTGGTTCCTAAGAGTTTATTTTATGCTGTTGGGAACTTTTAGTTCTCTGATCTCCATTTTAGTAGCAAAGGGCAGTTCAGGAGGAGATGGTTATTCCACAAAAGTGATTAGAAACAGATGTGATGGGCATGTTTTTGGTGATGTTATTAGATATATGCAAAGTCAGTTGAACAGAAATTAATAGGAAACTGAAGAGGAAAAAATGCATAAAAACTTCTTGCTAAAGTGATAATAGCAAGTGCATTGTTATTAAAGTTTAAAAATAAGGTATTAGCATCTACTTTTCGGTCCCAGAGAAAAAAGGCTCAACAGTATTAAAAAGACTTTAGTCCATTTCCTGATTAAATTTAGTCTTGCTTAAGAACTCTATTTTTGATTTTCATTAGAAGATACTATTTGTATTGTTAATTGCCAAAGGAATTTTTTTTTCATACTAGTAAAAATTTTAAATTGGCAGACATAGTAGTACTTAAGAGAGAAGAAACCATGTGTTAAGAGGTAAACTATAGCACAGAAAAATCTAGAGTTTATTTGAGCAAGGGGTGATTGATAAATAACTCCAATCCAGAAGTAGTTCAGGGACTCCCAAGGGGGAAACTCAAGGGAAAGGCTTTTATAAGATGAGTACAGAAGTAAAGCAAACGAGGTATTTGATTGGCTACAGTTATAGGGTTGCATTATTTGGTCTGTCCTGTTGGAAAGTTCATAATTATATAACTGGAAGTTTGTTGGTGGCTTCTAATTGGTTAGCCTTAAGATTCATTTCATTGGGCATTGATGAAAAATATCCTGTTTTGGGACCAGCAGTTAGCGTAATGGCTATGTTGTAGGATTCCCATGTAGTTGACCACGGTATGAGTCCTGGACCCGGTGGCTTAAACTCACGCCAGGCACGTGTGTGTGCGTGCCCAAGATCCCGAGAGGAGAATGGAGGAGAAGGGATTGTGGCATGACCATCCCCCCGGGGGGTGATTTCTCACTTTCTGTCTCTCTCTGTCTGGAGAGTGCACGCGCCCTATAGCAAAAACCTCTTCAAAAAAAAAAAAAAAAGAAAGAAAAATATCTGGTTTCAAGTTTTGCTTACGTTTATGTGTAAATCAAGCAAAGTTACGGCTTTTTTGTTTTCATGTTTTTTTCTTTTTTTTTTAGCTTTTGCTATAGGGCACGTGTGCTTACTGGAGAGAGAGAGAGACAGACAGAGTGAGAAATCACCTCCTAGAAGGATGAGCATACCATAATCTCTTCCAGTCTCCTCTTAAGACTCTGAGAATGTGTACACATATGTCTGGCATATTTTTCAAGCAATAGGATCCGGGATTTGTACTGCAGAGTTGGCCACTTGGGATCCAGCCACCTTAACCACCATGCTACCAGCTGGCCCAGTTAAGGTCATTTAATAACTGGCTTTGTCGTCTCAAATAATTCTTAGGCCTGATCTCCATTTTAACTTTATTTTACCATCTGGTAGAAGAAATGTAATGGGTTGAAAGATTGATCAGTTTATTTTATCTAGACCTTCCACATAGATATGAATCTGCACCTTTAGAATATCTTCTACTAAATGGCATGTCAAAACTTTTCGAACATACTTCTGATATCTTAACTGTCAGACTGCTAATAAGGGTGAGGTAGATATGACAGAAGGGAACCTGAATTTTAAGTCTTGTCAATTTTTGTGGTGTTTTTTGTTTGTTTGTTTTTCAGTATTATTTATTTATTTCAGTTTGACCAGAGAGGGACAAAGTGAGAGCGAGCTAGACAGATGGAAAGTGAGAAAGCAAGCCACCAGAGAATCAGGACTTCAGCTGTGGTCAGCCATATGGGAGTCCAGCATCCTTAACCCCCATGCCACCCGTCAGTTTTAATGAGCAATGTTGTATGCCAGTTAATTTCTTTGAATCACATTTTGTAAATAGAAAGGCTGGTATTACCATATAATGCTGTGGTGGGGACTGAACAAAAGGACCTGGAACTTTATGGGATATTTGGTATTTTTTTATTTTGCAGGAAAAGTTTTTGGTTATAGTAATTGATCTACAAATCTATCTCTTTCTATTCTCTCATTTTGTAGGAGAGAGAAAAGTGAGCCTCTAGCAATATTTAGTGAGTGAAATTAAGTGGTTGAATGGGATGGCTGGGAAAATCCTTGCCATTTTTATATCTTACAATATTTTTATTGTTTCAGGACATTTTATTCCAAGCTTATATTTACATTTCTAAGTTGGTTTAACTTAACAAGGAATTTTAATTTATGAAGCAGGAAAATATAGGTAGTTGCCATTTCTTTTATCAAATTACATTGTCACAGATTTGTTTCTGAGTTTTTACTGATTTTGCATCTCAGCCCTTCAGTTTTCCTCTACAATTATTCTACAGAATGTACTCCCCCCCTTTTCGATACCTCATTTTGAATTTGGCACATAGGCACATTTCTTCAAAATATGTTTATGGTGTGACTCTCATATGCCAGAAATTCCACTAAGTCTTAGGGGTTAATTGTGTGCAGAAATATCCCTGCTCTTGTGAAATTTGAAGTGAAGTGGGGAAGAGACAGACTCCAAATTGTATATTAGCACAATTGTAAAATGTAGACTAGGTAGAGTAGTTGACTTGTCAGGAAAGGATTCACTGAGAAACAAGTGCTTATTCTACAAGCTGAGGGTTGAGGAGCAATTAAGTAGACCAAGGGAGCAATCCATTTTCTAGAAAGAGTGAACTATGTTGACAATGGCCCTGAACAAGGAGTGAACTTGATGAGTTAGTACCTGAAAGGTCAGTGTTGATGGAGAGAGTGAATTAGTGGGAGAAGTAGGGGATAAGTGAAAAGTGAATACTGTCAACTTGGTAGGAACCACAGCAGCAGCCCAGGTGAGAGAAGATGGTACCTTGGCTGGTGGTGTTGGCAAGGCAAAAACCTCTACCCCCCCAAAAAAAGATAAAAAGAAAAGTTGGAATTGTATTTGGATCATTGTTCTTTGTTTCTTTTTAAAATTATATAACTTATTGGGTTGAAATGTGCAAAAGAGATTGCAGACTGATTAATTGATTTTACTTTTTTTCCCCTTTAGGAATTACATGGCCTACTCTGCTAATAGATGAATGGGAAACAGTGATTTGAACTAAGTGCCAACAAAGGATTACCTTTGTTTTTTGTGCTTTACCTCATTCCTCACATTTTTTTCTCTACTCTTACTGTAAAAACTGCACTTAAGTTAAAAAAAATGAAGCAGTTGAAAAGAAAAAGGAAAAGCAATTTTAGTGTTCAGGAAACTCAGACTCTTTTGAAAGAAATTACAAAAAGGAAAGAAGTCATTTTTTCCAAGCAGCTCAATACAACAATTAATGTGATGAAGAGAATGGCGTGGGAGGAGATTGCACAATGTGTAAATGCTGTCGGAGAAGGAGAACAGAGGACAGGGACAGAAGTGAAAAGAAGGTACCTTGATTGGCGAGCACTTATGAAGAGAAAGAGGATGAAGGCAAACATTCAGCTGGTTGGTTCAGGGTTTTCCCTTCCCACATCTGACTTAGATGACTCTCTCACCGAGGAGATAGATGAAAAGATTGGATTTCGAAATGATGCCAATTTTGACTGGCAGAATGTGGCAGATTTTAGAGACGCAGGTGGATCCTTAACAGAGGTCAAAGTGGAAGAAGAAGAAAGGGATCCTCAAAGTCCTGAAGTAAGTATTAGCCCATGAACTCCCCTTTTTTCCTTTTTCTATTCTTATATGCCAGTGTATAGTCCAGGAATAGTTAAGAAAGTCCCAGATTTTCCAACGTATTTAAAGATACGTAACAAGACCATGACATTTGTTTATTAGTTACATTATTTTTTTTAAAGTTTAGATATTTGTTTCTTCCATGAGTAAGAAAGACAACTCACTCAACAGGATCTTGACACCACCGTCCATATTGTCTACACCCAGCCTTCAGCCAGCCCCAGATCATGGGCAAACATGTGCCTGGAATACTTACCACGGAAGTGTCTAGACATGAATCCTGCATCTTCCCATGTGCATCTGCCTCTCAGGGTATCACATTTTACCTAATGCATTGCTATCCAGCTCCCCTCTTTTGTAATTGCCAGAGGATGTATATAATGCACCCATCAGAGACAGAGCAAGAAAGTATGCTGCATCCCCCCAACTCCAGTGAGGTATGATCACTGCAACCCTGTCTCAATTTTTCTGTTCTACAGGGATTTGGGGAATGAACAGATATATGCCTAGAAAATTTTTCAAGCCACTGGAGATAGGATTCCAACCACAGTCAGCCCTGTGGAATCTGGCTCCCTTAAACACAAGGCCACAGTTATATGTGGGTAACAACCCCCTCTACATCATGATGTATCTTTCTTCTCACTTAAATATAATTATCTTGGTGTATATTAGTGATATCAAGTAATTCAATGTAAATTTTTTTCAAAATTCAAATTAGGGTCAGTTCTGTTGTGCTGTGATAATATGCTGCCTAGGAAAAGCTGGATCCCACATGGCAAGCTTGGTTTGGATACCTGGCTCTGTCATCCTGACACACAGACAGCAGAGCAAGTGCTCAAGATCTAATGGGCTGGAAGGTTGGAGAAAGGGGATGGTAGGGTGGCTAGACCCTGTAGAGGGTGCACATCTCTCTCTCTTTCTCACACGCAAATGTATGCACCTATGAATAAAGAAAATTCTTTAAAGAACTGAAATAGTTTTGTGTGTTCAAACAATATAGAAACGTAAAAAATGGACAAATTGACAACCATGAAATATAGATAAATACTGAAAATCATTTTTTTTCTTTTCTCTTAGTTTGAAATTGAGGAGGAAGAAGAAATGTTATCATCAGTCATACCAGATTCCCGAAGGGAAAATGAACTTCCTGATTTCCCCCACATTGATGAGTTTTTCACCCTTAACTCAACACCATCTAGATCTGCATATGATGAGCCTCATTTGCTTGTAAACATAGAGAAACAGAAACTAGAATTGGAGAAACGACGATTAGATATTGAGGCTGAAAGACTACAGGTAGAAAAGGAACGCCTACAGATCGAGAAAGAGAGACTTCGGCATCTAGACATGGAACACGAGAGGCTTCAGCTGGAAAAGGAGCGGCTTCAGATTGAGAGAGAGAAGCTGAGGCTACAGATAGTCAGTTCCGAGAAACCATCATTGGAAAATGAACTTACTCAAGGAGAAAAGTCATTACTTCAACCACAGGACATAGAAACAGAGAAGTTAAAACTGGAGCGAGAACGCTTGCAACTGGAAAAAGATCGGCTGCAGTTTCTGAAGTTTGAATCTGAGAAGCTGCAGATTGAAAAGGAACGCTTACAAGTAGAGAAGGAAAGACTTCGAATTCAGAAGGAAGGACATTTGCAGTGATTTTGTTTTTGTGTTTGTTTTTAGGCTTCCACTTAGCAGTGTTTGTAAACTGTAGATTTTTCTCATAGCCAGTGATATAGAGATGGTTGCTGGATTAGTCAGTGTTTGTGTGTGTGTGGGGGGGGTTATTTTTTTTTCTGTCTAATGTCAGTGTTTTCAGTAGGAAAGAGTTAGTTATATGTGGGTGACTGTATGCTTAGGTAGTATATTATATAAAACTCTGTGCCCTAGCATAAACAGTATAGGGGAAGCTTACTGTGTTGGACTCTTTATGTTAGTAATATTACATAGGGTCTTGTATAATCTGTGCACCCAGAGTTTACAGTTATGTCTATGTAATATTCTAGCCCAGAGGGTCTTAACCAGGGGTGGTTTGGATCCCAGAAGATATTTGGCAATGTCTGTAGACATTTTCAGTTGTCAAAAATTGAGGTGAGTGAGGGTGCAGGATGCTACTGGCATCTAGAACCAAAGATGCTGCTAAATATCCTGCAATACAGAGGATACCCCACCCCTTCTACATTAAAAAATTTTTGAATCCAAAATGTCATTAGTGCTGAGGTTGAGAAACCCTACTCTAGCCTAACTGTGCACCTCTATAGCTATATCCTATAGTTTTAGAATATTAAAACCTCAAATATTTATGTGGGTAGGTACTTAAATGGCCAAAAACTGTTAACACTGAAACAGTTCTGTGTAGTATATTGAATAAAAGAAGTGATGAAGATTATAGGTATTTTATTCCCATGTTTCCTTCTATAAATTGCCTTCTGAGATTCAGAAAATGATACAAGAAACATCAGAGATTGTCTAAAATGAATCACTTTGAAAGGCAGTTCATCCATCTAGCTATTGATGCTTTGGGAGTAAGATCCAGTTTTTGAAGTTTTGTTTCTTTTTGTTTAACGCATTATCTTAGTTTGGAGACAAAATTGTCAATTCAACCATGTGCTGAAATATATAAGTAAATGGTTGCAGCTAGTAAAAAATGGTACCAATATAAAAAAAAACATAAAGTACCAGTAATCCATAAACTTGAACCCAATCAGTGTTGTTTGACTTTTAAAATAAGTAAAAGCAGCTATTTGGGATGGTGGGGTGGGGGGAGGATGTTCTCTGTATCAAATAATGATGATGATGTTAAAATAATGATAGTAGCTGTGCTCTATGGATTTGAGGAAGCACTTAGCCACTTACTGTCTGACCTGATCTGTAGACCAGTTATTGAGAGTAGTATCTATTATTCCTGAATCTGAAACTCAGAGAAGTCATACAGTGAATAAATGATCATTCTTTAATATTATATTTTGTCTTTGCCCCTCCCTCAGGAACAAGTTTGTGTCTTTAGTCCCTTTGGTATTATTTCTGAGACCAAGGGGCTTCATAACCTGGTGATTTTCCTGAAGCTGTGGTTTTCACATTCCAGGTGATTTTGATGCACTCTAAAATTGAGAATCACTGCACGAGATCACTTTGTGTTTTCTGATTTCCAGGGCTGATATGTAGCTTTAATACATCTCTTCTATTGACAGATACTACCTTGATTCTGTGTTTGGTCCTTGTTAAAAATGGCTTGAAACCATGTGGACATTTGAGTATATGGGTATGCAAGGAAAAAAATATACTTCTGCTTACTTACCCTGACTTTAAAAAATAGTGTTATTTTTCTATAACTGAAATAAATGCTTCTACCATAGAAATAAATTTGCCTATACTAATTTTCTGAAAGTTCATTTCAAGTGATACTAAGCTGTAAGGGTAGAGATCATCAAGCCTGGGAGAGAGCCCTATCATTGTGAGTGGGGACAGGGACTTGACATTTGTGCAAGGTGCTGACCTACGTGTATTACAAATATTCTTTTATTTGCTCTTCCAAGTAAAGTGAACTAAGTCATGCTATTTCCCACTTAATAAGGAAGGAAACAATCTAATTAAATACCTAAAAAATTATATTGCCAATTCTAACCCAAGATTTTAGCATGCGAATGATTAGTTCCAGTTTGTAAGTACAGTTATAATGATCATATCTTTGCCATTTGCTACTGGTGAAAGTTTTTTATCTTATCATTCAACTTGATTTTCTCATTTGTAAAAGGGGCATAATTCAGGGCTGGCAGGTGGTGTAGCTAAGGGTGCTGGACTCCTGCATGGCCAACCACAGTTCAAATCCTGGACCTAGTGGCTGGCTTTTCACTTTCTCCCACTGTAACTCCTCTCTGGTCAAATTTAAATGAATGAATGAATGAAGTTAATAATTCTTAAAAAGGGGGGAGAGTGGCATAGTTCTTCTCTGGTGCTCCATCCAATTAGTTTTGTTTTTTTGTTTGTTAAAGAACAGTGCATGTGGGCCAGCAGGTGGCATAGTTAAGGTGCTGGACTCCCATGTGGTTCCACCATGGTTTAAGCCTCAGACCCAGCTGCTTGAAATTCATGCCAGGCATGTGTGTGTGCACACCCAAAAATTCTGAGAGGATACTAGAGGAGAAGGGATTGCGATGTGGCCATTCCCCCACGGGGTGATTTCTCATTTTCTCTCTCTGGTAAGCACATGCTCCCTATAGCAAAAGCCTCTCACACAAAAAAGAAAAAAGTAAAATATGTAAATTATAAAATTCTACTTATATCATGAGTGTTGAATTTGAGATCAATAGATTTTAATGTCCTAAGGAAAGTATGAGGATAGCTTGGGATTCATTTTGGATGGAGAAGGCTTAGTCCCTGGAAGAAACTGAAAATAGCAAGCATAATATCTCCTAAGGCTTTGGTTAAAGTATCAGGTACCTTGGTCTAACTCATGCCAGTGTGTGTATATATATTGCCAAAATCCCTAGAAGAGAGTAGAGGAGAAGGATTTGCAGCATGGCTAATCCCCTCCTGGGGAGGGGGTGATGTCTCACTTTCTGTGTGTGTCTCTGGTGAACATATGTGCCCTATAGCAAAAAAATCTCTTAAAAAGGGGGGGGGGGAGAGTCCCAGAGGCAAGTGGTTAAGGGAGTGAATCTCACATGACCAACTGCAAGTTCAAATCCCAGACCCACAGACTGACGAATATGCTGGGCACCACATCATGCATGCCCCAAATCCTGATGGGATAGAGGAATGGAAAGGGGATTATAGGGACCAGCAGTTAGCATAATGGCTATGTCGCTGGACTCCCACGTAGTTGACCGCGGTTTGCGTCCTGGACCCGGTGGCTTAAAACTCATGCCAGGCGCATATGCGTGCGTGCCCAAGATCCCTAGAGGAGAATAGAGGAGAAGGGATTGCGGCGTGGCCATCCCCCCTGGGGGGTGATTACTCGCTTTCTGTCTCTCTGTTTCTCTCTGCCTGGCTAGCGCACACACACGCCCTATAGCAAAAACCTCCCCCAAAAATAAAAAGTTAAAAAAAGAAAGGGGATTATAGTATGACCACACCCTATTGAGGGATGCTTTTTCTCTGTCTCTGTCTCTCTGTCCTTGGTGAACGGCATGCCCTCTGGCAATTAAGAAGAAGAAGGGAATTAAGAAGAAGAAGGGAATAAAGGCTATAAACCTGGGTAATACCAACGTAAGATTTGGTTAGGGGTACATAAAATACTGAGGAAATAAACAAGATTAGGGAGCAAACTAGTCTCATTCATGCCAATACATGAAGAGATCAATTGACTTAGTTTCATATTCAACATTTCTACTTAATATGACTAAGGTGTTTATTGGCAATCTGGGAATAGTAACATTTCAGTGAAGTAAAAGCCAAATAGAGGGATCAAATAACAGACTTAACAGGCATAGAGGCAAATACCAATGGGTAATCAAAGAATTACAAGGCTAAGAGTTAAATGAAACACCTGCATCAACCTTGAATTTACTTGGGGTGATGCTAGAACTTGGGGTGCACAGAAAGAATAAGCCAAATACTTAAATTCTTGATAAATGCAGGGCAATGACAAGTTCAGCAGAGAAAATTGGTAAGTTAGTGGTTCATTTTGACAACATGACATATGCTTCAAAGAGGAGGGATTCTTATGGGTACCCAACCTCACAGCTAGCTTTTTACAGAGAGTTTTAAGCTCTTAATAAATGTTTAGGACCTGTATAGGAATTAGTCTAGTCTACAAACTCAGGAAGAAATCACAATAATCTGCTAGTTAGGCAGGCTCTTTTTGTATTTGGGATTACAAGATTACAAAACTCCTAAGTAGCCCCTTTACTCAAGCTACAAACTAGGCATTATCATTTAACAAAATATTTCCTTTATATTTATTTCTTATATAGCTATATTTTATGCTTACTTTGTTGTTTGTGATATTTCCAGTCATTAGAAGTGGCTACAAAACAGTTATCCATGCACTCTGGAGGTCCACTCAACCTACCATCTTCAGATCCAGAAAATATTAAATGCATTTTTATTCTTTGTCGTCTGAAAGGACAAATTCCAATCAAGATTCCTGCACATCTCTGTGGGAAGAAGATATACTGTTAGGGTTATTTCCTGCTTAGCCTCAACCCAAACATGGGACTTAGAATTTTCTTATGGATTCCTCACTTCAAAGCAACCACAAATACCAGTCTGTGGCATGTAGGAAAGTTTTAACAGGAGGACTTCATGTCATGGTAAGAATTCATTAAATATCACCCAACAACGTAAAATTCATACACCAAACATTTTTGTTCTCATAATTCCTTTTGGCTACCAAGGGGAATCCCACTGGCCCTTTACCCAGCTTTCTTCTTTCTTAATGTCTCCCTTCTTACCTTTTATTTTTCCTCATACCTTTGCCCACTCTCCACCCCACCAAAGAAAACTGAAACAAAATAAACATACCTTTAATTTCATGGGAGCGATTTATCTGTAGTTGAGACAATTTTCAAGTCTTATCTGCTGCTCTTGATCATTTATCAAAATATTTTCTTAAAGAAAGAGAAGATTATTGGTACTAGCTTCTTAGAAAATATAAAAATATGCTACCGATTGCATTTGCATTTGATTTTGTTTATGAAAACGCACACATTTAATATTTAGCATTATGAGTTCAAGACAGATGAATTGTGCATTTTTTCTTTTCTTTTTCTTTTTTCTTTTCTTTTTTTTTTTATTTTGCCAGAAAAAGACAGAAACAGAGGAAAAGTGAGAAATCTCCCCTTCCCCCCTGAGGGGATGGCCACACTACAATCCCTAATTTGCCATTTTCCTTTCAGCATTTTGGGCACGCACACACACACACACAGCATAATTTTCAAGCCACTAGGTTCAGGGCTCTAATCCTAGTTGGCCATGTGGGAGCCCAGCACCTTAACCATCACACCCACCTGCTGGCCTGAATCTGCAATTTCAGTTTGTCTTTTTGCCAACTCTCCTGGATATCTCTTTTCATTTAGTATTTATTTCTATAACAAATTGGGACATTCTGATTTGGGGGAAAACTATTTGAGTATTTTTTTTTTCACTGATACTTACTAAATATATAAATTTCTGTTTATGCATTGAGAAGTAAATATTAAACACCTGTTTGTTGTTCATTAGGAAAATGGAATGAGTTCATAGTCTATGGGTAGAGAGATCAGGGAGCATGTACCAACAGCCTGAACACTATAACAGTGAAGCATATTTCCAGTGAGTGGTTACTGAACTGAGTGTAGCAAAGTGTTTCTTTTGAGGGCTCATTAGGTCTTTTA